CCTCATTGCAAATATTGGATGCCCTAAGTTTCCAAAAATGTGCTCTTTAGATGTCCTTTCATTACGGACCGAAAATCTTATTTAAGACTCGATTCAGCGGCAGTTTATGACAGTCTTTCTTGGACACAAAACAAGGCTCAAGCACGCACTGTCTTGAATATATTTCCGCAGCAAATTTTGTTAAGAGGACGAAACCCATCTGCGGATTAAACCCAAGCAGAGAAAGGCGTTTCACTACTTGCCTCAGTGTGGAAAGGGGACATTCATTACGTTGATGGATTTCTGTGGCAGTTGCAAGCAGGAGTTGCCGCAGTTGAAGTGCCACAACGGATATGTTAGACGGCACGAAACAGTCCCATCAACTTCTTGTCGCCCCTCATTCTCTATGTTTCTCACTCGTTCTCTCTCCTTCGCTCTGTTGGTGTGTGCCGCACTTTGATTGCCTCAACCTTGACGGGAAGCGGAAATATTTGGCCAGCACTTTCGTCTTTGGTTTTCCTTTGTTCGGGGCTTCCTTCAAACCAAAAATTGTTCACCTTTCTTTTTTGCCCTCTCATTTTTTTCGAGGGAATTTTTTTAATTGATTTGCCTTTGTGTTTGTTGTTTTTGTTTTTGTTTTTGTTTGGCGTTGGTGTTGCTGTTGTTGGCTCTCTCGCCTTCACCGTGGCCATGACCAGTTAGCCGCAAAAGCAAACCCCATCCTTTCTCCACCTTTCTGGCCGCTTTCTTTATGGAGCACACACGCACATGGCCTACGTGTGTGTGTGTGTGTGTGTGTTTGTGTATGTGGGGCGGAAAACGCCCCATCAATTTTGTTATTTTTAGCATGCAAATCGTTTTGTCAGCCTTCAAGGCGGCGGCGGAGGCGGTGGGGAGGAGAAGCGTAGAGTGGAACAGAGGCAGACCTCCAGCTGGCGGACCATATACGATACTCCATTGATGATGAGCTTCTCCTTCAGCCGCATTGCAATCCCCTGCAGTTTTCACTGAGACAAATGTCGGATGGGTGGCCATGTGGCTGCGGGTGGGACCTCCTCCGCTGGTGGTTTTCGAGTGGTTCCGAATGGCTGCAAGAAAATGGTTTATTTGTTTGTTTTCTCGTCCGTCACCATTTGCTGTGGCAACACTGGTTGGGAATAAATTTGATCAATATTATTTTTTCGGTGGGCAACAGCCCCGCTGGCCCTTTCCCTTCCCATTCCTCTTCCCACCTTCTTCCCTTCCCTTCCACCGCCGCTTGTGCCCATTCTCCTCACGTGCCGTGACTGCTTATTAGCCATGAAGGTTACCAACGCTAGCGTCAGCTGAGTTAAGGCCCATGCCACATGGCCGCATGGCATGCAACCCCTGCATCTTCCACCCTCTCAGTCGTCTCAATTTGCATGGGACAGCAGGCCGTGGGCCACTAACAAAGGAACCACTGGCCATGATCCACGATTCGGTCCAACATTGCGTATGCGTCATATGCTCAATGTTGCCCGACGCCCGATGGCCCAGTCCCCATGCCATGCCATGCCGCCCCCCACCCCGTAGGACCCCCGCCAGTAACAAATTGCACTCGCGCATGCAATTTCATTCAACCCTGTGCCCCCGCCCCTGACGTCTGCCCCCGTCGAGACCCCCAGAAAAAACAGAATATGGAATATGAATTTGAATTGGATCTGAAATGGCAATCCCATTCTGAATCGGTAAACAAATATCAATGGGTATGGAAGAGGCTATTTATGATAATTTCGAAATCTGAAGCTCAGTCCAAATTAGGGAAGAAATAGAGGCCATCCGAGGATGGGATGGAAAGCATACATACATATGTACATCTCCATATGTAAATATATCCACATCTGAAGCTCAATTCAAGGGATACGCGAGAAGGATACATATTGAGGGAATTATGATAGAAATAAAAGATTCTATACAGTGTGTTTCAGATCATCATCGGCATTGGAACCATATATGTGCCATAATTGGGGAATCGAAAGGATACATCTGGGCGTTTCTCATTGCCAACAATTATTAATCAATTACTTATGGGTGAATAGATTGAAGAGAGGAATTATCTGGTTGTATCTCCCGCTTCCAGCCTCTGTCCCTAGCAGAGAGAGGCCTGGGCTCTGCTAGCAGTGGCGTCGCTTGGCGTCGCGTCGCTACCGATGCATACATTAACATTAATCGCTCCCTCTCTTTCTGTCGGGGAAACTGTTACGAAACTGTGGCTGAAGAGGTGGAGGGAGGGGGGGAGTTCGAACGAGCAAAACAAACTACGAAAATGAGGAACCCCGACCGTTGCCCGACAGCGAGCCGACAGCCCACGAAGCCCGAAAGCCGAAATCGAATTGAAATGTTTCGCTCGGCGGACAGAATTCCACTCACATTTGCACTCACTCACTCGCTCACACACGGCCCCCCGTGCCCCCCCTCTCAGTCGCCACTCGGTCAGGCTAACCGTCTCATAAAGTTGCACGAAAGCAAAAACCCTGCTGCACACACCATTTGGTGGCTAAAAGTGGTGGCTAATATCTGTATGCTATATTGAACCGATCTCAGTGGAGGACAAAAGACTATCCATTCTGAGCATTCATTCAGTTTTTTGTTATATTTCATCATTCTGGGTCTCAGTGAAATGCTTGAAGAAGGAACATATAAAACATCCATCTAAGTAATACAAAAATTCCTTGAGATTTGACCCATCTAATCAATGATTTCAATATCAAGGATCTTCGAATATTCCCTCCCTTTTTTCGTGTTAAACGTATCGTTTAAGCCGCTCTTTGGCGCTCAATATATCTTTCCCTCTACCCACTCACGTTGAGTCGGCGTAGACTTTAACCGAACTCAGCCACGGCTCTCACTCAATGCCTCGTGAACCCCCTCTACCCCCCTCTCCAGGCCATTCTCACTCAGCCAACCGCTCTCTGGCATCCCAGCGAACTCGCTGACTCTTTCATACACTTACACTTGAAGTTCACGAGCTTTTGGCCTGTGGTTGGGTTCGGCTTTTTGGTTTTTCACTCGAGCTAAGGATGTGTTTGTGTGCGAGTGTGTGTGAGTGTGTGTGTGTGTGCAGTACAACATTTAGTTAAGTTAAGCGCTGAAGTGAACTCAACTGAACCGAAAACTGGCCCGAAATTGAAACGATGAAACGATGAGGAATCGTTGCCCCGTATGCCCCGTATGCCCCGTGTGTGTGTGCTTGTATGTGTGTGTGTGATTGAGTCCAAGTGTGTGTTGGTATGATTCAAGTGCTGCCTGACTTAGATTTCTGGCCGATTGTTTGGCATTTTTCTTCTTTTCTTTGTTGTTGTTGTTGTTTTTTTTTTTTTTTTTTTTTGGTGAAGAAGTCGCCATGCCGCTGCCTGCCACTGCTGCTGCTGCTGCTGCTGCTGCTGCTGCTGCCACTGCCGCTGGTACTGCTGCTGGTGCTCCTGCTGGCGCTTCTGGTTCGGCGAATAGTTTGTTCCGGCCAGCCAAGCCAGGAAGCCAGTTAACAGAGCCACTCTCTCCCTCTCTCTTTCTATCGCACGCTCTCTCTGTCTGTATTTCTGACTGTGTCTGTGTGTGCCAGTGTGTTTGTGTGCGTGTGGCAACTTCGTTGTTGGTGCTAGTGATGGTGCTGCCACTGCGGCTCTGTTTGGCTCCGGGCATTGTCAACAACGCGGCACAAAGTTCATACAATTGTGACACGCGGCGCGTTAAGCACGTGGCTCTGACTGATAACAGGAGACCAGACCCGTGTCTTCGAGGCATTGATAGAAAGAACCATTCAAAGGGTGCCCCACTCTGACTTAGACTTGCAGGAAAACTCGTAAATGTGACCGGAAATGGTTGCACATTAGACGTTGCAAGGTACTAGAGAGAGAGAGAGAGAGAGAGAGGGAGGGAGCAGTGGCAGTGACAGCAAACGGTGCAACGCCTTGGATAATTATGAATAATCTTCATTTTTGTTTTTGTTGATGTCCAACGCCTCGAAGTAGGCAACAATTTTGCAGTGACAAAAGTGCGTGAGTGTTGGTGCGCCCTGCGCCCTGCGTCCTGCCCCTCCAATAATCTGTTCAGTTCAAATTTTTTGTTCGAGTGCCCCGCAGAGTGCGAATCGTGTGACACAGACAGTGGCACAGGCCCCGGGCAGTGCAGTGCATTCAACTCGGATTCAAAATTGGAATTAGTCCAGCAAAAATGAATATAAATACGATATGAATACACACATGCTGGCGCAAATGTGATTGTGAATGTGAATACATACAACTTTTGGTGTGGATTGCAAATAATTAAACAGATGAAAAGATTGCCTAGCTTCGGAGACCGAAGACTGGAATACCCTTGCCGATTCGTTCGTTGCAGAATCAGAAAAAATATATTAAACAAGAAAAAACATAACAATTTGTCCGTTAAACAGTTAGACAGGTTTGGGAGAAGTATTCTCCAGGAGGTGGGAGAAGTATTTGTTTTAAGGACTCAATAAATACGGGCATGGCTCTATCGACAACAGCCGATAGGAGATGCCCGCTTCTGTGGAACCCTCTGCAAGGGTCAAATCTTGTTAGAAAAGTGTCCAAAAAGTAAATAAAATAAATAAGCAACGTATTAGTAAAAGCAACATGCCACAATTATACACTAATCGCTTGCTAAAAAGTACAGGAAAATAGTAAGAAAAACACAAACAAAAAAAACAAAACTCGAAATCCGAAAAAGAAAACTCAAGTGAAATGAAGGCGAATCCAAAATTGAAGTAATTTGAAGGTGCAACACTCTCTGTGACACAACGAACGACAATGAGTAGCAGCAATGGCAATGGCAACAGTGCCCCCAGCAATGAACAGCAGCAGCAGCATCAGGCAGGAGCAGCAGGTCCAGGAGCGGCAGCAACATCGGGACCTGAGGAAGTGGCAGGTGGTGGCTTTTCAACGCGACCTGCCACGGCGCCGGCACGCACCACCGATCCGAGCAACAACAACAACAACAACAACAATAACAACAACAACAACAACAGCACCACCACCAGCAGCAGCACCAGCTATAGGGTGAATCTGAGCAACATTAACAACAACAGCAGCAACAGCAACAACAATACCAGCAGTCGGCAGGCCAGCAACAACAATCACAATGAGAGCAGCACGGGGCTGGTGGTCAACACTGGTGCCACAACAGCAACACCTGCTGCAACTGCAACGGCAACGGCAACGGGAAATGCAACTGCCACTGCCACAACCAGCAGCAACAACAACCACATCTATGTGAATCCCCACAGCTACGACAGCAGCACCACTGGCAGCGCGAGTGGCTCCACGGCGGTGATGCTGCCACAGCCACAGCCACAGCCACAGCCTTTGCCACTGCCCTTGCCACTGAGCAATCCTTTGACCCTGCAACTTCCGCTGCCACCAGGAGGAGGAGACAGAGACAACCATCTGCTGCAGCAGCAGCAGCTCAATACGGGAGCCATCAGTCGAACGGGCACTTCCACCTCGACGACGCTGAGCACCCTGAACACATATCTATTCCCCTGCGGCGCCTCGGACTCGGCGGGCACTCTGGGCGGCGGCAGCTGCGATCTGGACAGCAACTTCAGCCAGATGGTCAATGGAGCCGGCAGCAGCGAGGCGGGCAGCAGCTTCAGCCAGAGCACGGCCCCCGCCGGCCTGGGGATGGGACTGGGCGTGCAGCTGGGCCTGGGCTTCATCAGCGGCAGGCGGCGCATCCGGCGCCTGTTCGGTGTGGCAGAGCCCAACCTGGGGACAAACGGCGGGGGAGCGGGAGCCAATCCCTACGCGGCGGCAACGCTGCGGCGCCGCAGCTCACAGCTGGGGCAGTTCGGCAAGCGGCGGGAACGGGAGCGGGAGCGAGAGCTGGAGGAGATCGAGCAGCAGCAGCGCATTGCCACGGTGGCCTCTGCCAATGCGGCGTTCCTCGAGCGACGCGAGATGCAGCTCCAGCAGCAGCAGCAGCAACATTTGCAACATTTGCAACATCAGCAGCAGCAGCAGTATCTGCCACAGCAGCAGCCGCAGCAGCAGCAGCAGCAGATTCAGTTCATGTTCAATCCCATGCATCAGGAGCCGCAGAAGAAGAAAAAGAAAAAACCACCGGGTCCGCCGGCCCAAGCCCGGCAGCAGTCATCGCGCACCATGGACGATCCGATGATGAATCGGCCGCGCAAGGGCACGCCCGCCAAGAAGGACAAGAAGGCCGCCCCGGAGAATCCCTATGAGAAGTACCACCAAATCACAATCCAAAATCAAATCAAAATCAAAATCAGAGCAAGCCAAAGCACAAGCAAACCGCTCTTTAGCCACTTAAGCCACTTAGCCTCAAAGCCAACAGCAAAAAGAAAATTATGAAAATTATACAAAAATCAATAGAAGCAGCCGATGAAGACGATGCTTTTTACCAATTTTAATTTTTAATTTAATTTTAATTCAAAAATTTCTGCTTTGAATATTAGTTTCTGTTGTAAAGATTTGAATAAAACGTTGATGAATATACATATGAATACGTTTTTGAGTAATGCTTCGCTTTTTCGCTTTTCCAATGCTTCTAGCGGCTTGTTGAATACCCTGCGATTACCATGCCTCACCTCCACTCACCACAGCTCAACTCATCTTATTCCATTCTCACCTTCCCTAAAGCACCCATGAATCTATTTATCTATCTATCGACCTTATGACCTTATCTATGCGTATGCGTAATGCCCGAAGCAACTTTGCCCTGGGGTCAGGAGCCAAGTCGCCGCCAAGTCAATGCCCCAGCAGGCGGCAGAGAACGCAGCCGTAAGCGAATCCCGAATCTATTCTCGAATGGGAATCAACAGACAGCAGACGGCGCCAGGCTCCAGCTCTGCTGAGCTCCACGCCAAAAAAACACTGGAAAAACATTCGCTTGGCCGCACCGAAGCTTTGAATACCTTTCCTTGGAATCAGAGTTGTTTCGTCCGGGATAACGATTGCGTTTCAAAGTATCATCTTATAGGGAATTATTTGGGGTAAGAATGGATTCTGGAACGATAGGACTGTGAAAGATCTTCAATCTTCTCTCTTCATCCATTCCTCGGCATTCCTCTAAGTGTTGTTACCCTCTGGGGAAAGGGTATCATCGAGGGATGGGTTGACAATTGGCGGAGGATGGTTGTAGGAAGTGTAAAAATAAATGTGCGTCTAACTGGAGCCAGCATAAGTCAGCGTCCTCCGAATCTGATGCCGTTTGCTACTGTCTCCTGTTTCTGTCGCTAATCCTGCCTCTGGCTCTGGCTCTGGCTCTGCCCCTTTGCCCTTTCTTTCTCCCGCCTCATTACGTATACGCCACCGACTACACAAAGAGACTAAAAAACGAAAGATAAATCAGAACGGGGGCACACCACGCCGACCTCCCGAAATCGAAGCTAACTTTCTATTCTTTCAGAGATGTTTATGGGATGTTGCTGCTCTCTGCTCCTATTCTCTGACTCTGGTTCTGGCATATATTTAACGCTTTTATGTAATGCGGAGGGCGGGTTGGGGGGGATCTAAATGTCGCAGGGAAATTGCTTTAATGTGGCTTGCGTGTCCGGGGCTGCGCCCTTTGTTGCTGTTGCTGCTTGTTCTTTTCTGTGCTTTTCCACGTGTTTCTGTTGTTTTTATTTTTTGAGGAATTTATGTCAATGCCACAAACGACAAACAACAAACAGCAAACAAAAGAGAGGGAAAGGAAGAGAAAGAGAGGGAGATCCATAGGGGGAGAGCTAGAGGTAGAGGTACAGGCCGTAGTACTCCCTTTTCTGGGGCCAAAAAGCATTACTCTGCAGTTTTGAGTTAATTGGCAACAGTCATACCCAGTCAGCCAACCAACCACCCACAACCCCCACCCACGGAGTGGCCAACACGTGGGCGACACAGAGAGAGAGACAGAGAGAGAGAGAGAGAGAGGGAGGGAGAGAAAGAGAAAAAGAGTGGGAGAAAGGGAACACGCGACGCCATGGCTGCGACATGTAGCCGCCATTTAAATTGCCCGGCAGAGTCGACCTCGCCACACAGCACTCACTCCCCCAACCCGCCACCTTCTACACACTCCCGCCCCCCCTCCCCCCCATTCGACGAACACTTACCCCTAAAACATCACCGCCCCATCCCCCTGGCAAGAGGCAGACCCGGAATGAGACATGTTGCCCTTGATTTGTGTGCACGGCATGTGGCGGCGTGTTGACTATTTGCATTGCATGCCATGTCTCTCTCTCTCTCCCTCGCGCTCTCTCTCTCTCTCTCTCTCTCTCTCCTGTGTTTGTGCGTCCAATAATTTCGTAACATGGCCTTTGTGGCGATCTTTGCACAGCGATAAGCCCCCCGCCGCCAAACAGAGGCAAAAAGGAGCAGAATGGTGCGGCATGGAGCGGCATGGAGGGGCGGAAAACTCATTGAGTCGGCCACTCGCAACATTTTTTTGCTTTATCCTACCGGGTATTGCCCTTTTTTCGAAGAGCCTTGCCCTGACTGAAGCTACTCCGCAGGTCCAAACCGAAATCTGAACATCGATCCCCACGCCACACGAATCACATTTGCAGGTTCTATTAACAAAATTAACTTCGGATTCCATTGCCCCTGCTAGCTTTGAAGTGTATTCAATGTCTCGTCCAAAGCGAACAGATTTTCCTCTGCGTTTTTTTGTGTATTTGCCGTCGAGGAAGTGTAAAGGCCTTTGGCGAGGACAAAACAATTCGTAGCTCGAATGCATTTGCCCAACAATACTTATTGGCTTTCCTCTCTCCCTATCTCCCTCTCTTTTGTGTGTGTTTTTGGGCCCAGTGCCAAATGATTTGCTATGGAAATTCTATGGAAATTGTTGCTATTGTCGCGAAATTTTTTGCCTAATGCCCGGCAATTATTAATTATTTAATGTCATCCAGCTCAATGTGCCACCGAAAGAGACACGCCTACGTAGCACTTACGCCCCCTACTTGGCCCTCTCTCCACTCGTATACCTTTTATTCCGGGCAACTTTCATTCTGGCCATCGATAAGTATGGAAATACATATCTTTGCAGTTTCTGTTCAAAACTTTATTTGACTTCCCTTTGGTTGAGATAATTTCATGGAAATAGTACACGCCACAGTGCCCTGCCGACCCTCCCGTTCCCCTCTCCACGTTAATTGTCTGCCGCAGGACCTTTTCCGGCGACCAACTTGCGAGCGCTAAAAAGTATGCTATGGAAACTATTGTTCGCTTAAGTTTGTGTGTGTGTGCGTGTGTGTGTGTGTGTTTGTGGCACAACTTTGGCTCAAGGGCCAGCAATTAGTCGACACCCTGCTCCAGCCGCAGCCGCAGCCCCTGCCCCATGCCCCATACCCCATTCCCCCACTCGCCCCCGCTGCAGGCGCTGTGGCAGGTACAACCTTGAACTCGCCGGCAAATCGAAGCACGAAACGAGCACAAAGCGAATGAAAGTAAAAGTTGCACGTGCTGCTGCTGCTACTGCTGATGTTGCCTGCCACTTGCGGCAGTTGCATGAATAATGTGAATGCACCACCAGCTCATCCCCGCCATCCCCCCAAAGTCCCTCTCCAGGTCTTCCCCTACCCCGTGTGAAGGTCGGAGCGGTGCAGCGCAGGCCACAGGAATCCATTAGGCCAGACCGGGACCCAGAGCTCAGCCGATGAGCCTGCCGCCGTCTGCCTGCTGACGTCATCGGCCCACCCGTCCCCACCTGCCGTCACCTGGAGTCGCACGTCTGCCCCAATCAAAGTCTTTCGCTTTGGCTTTGGCTTTGTCTTTGTCTTTGGCCTACCGGCATTTATTTATTTATTGAGCGCTGCGACAAAAATGTTCTACGAAAGAACTTGCCCCTTCCCACAGTGCGGGCGTCTGTGTGTGACGACGACGACGTCAGCAGCGATTTATTTAGCGACAGTTTGTCGTTCATCTTTTTTTTATGGCCACTGCCACACACTGCCCCTGCGACTGATGTTGCTGCTGTCATTTATTTTGCCGTCATAAACTTTCAATGGAATCACGCAAGCCAAGTTTTCATGCCCCACTTGCCTCCCGCTGCCTGCCGCCCGCTGATTTCTTTTATTATTTCGCATATGACAACAGTCATTGGCTTCTTCCAAAAAATGTGACAACGACAGCAGCACCAGCACCAGCGGCAGCGACAGCGGCAGCAATTGTTGGAGACTTCCCCAGTGGGGCAGCACGCATTACCGCCTCCACGACTCCCTTACGCCTCCACTCCTCTGCAGCTTTCTTCTTCCCTCCTATTTGGCTCCGCTTGGGTTTTCCTTATTTTGTGAGAAAATGGAGCCAAAAGGCAAACAATAAGCAAATCAACTAAAGGGCAAACAACAACAACAACACCAGCGGCAGCAGAAATACTGAAAGAAAATTATTGGTTATAGAACAAGAGAAAAAGCTTCGATCCATGGGACTCGACGCACTGGATACCCTTGCCGCTTGATACTTGTGGCAGACAAAGGTCCAATGGATTGGTTCTTGGAAATGGATATTATATATATAGGTAGGGATATCGTCTATTGTTAAATCGATTATATACATATTTGTAGAGAGCTTAGCCAAACTAAGAGCCAGACTCCATATTCATATTTCCACTTGTGTTTCTGGATACTATAAACACCTGGATCTTAAAGCCATTAGGAGTGGGCGCATCCATCGTATCGCATGCCAGAAATACGCAATTCTTTCATACTTTCCCTCATTAAAGAGGGCTTAGCTCCGATCGGACCAGATATCCTCAGATACATCTGCAAAATAGGTATTTTCTAGTCCAAATATTGCACTTTGGCGTTGTTTTTCTCAAGTTTTTCAAGCTTTCTCTATCGCTCTCTCTCGCTCTCTCTCTGTGTGTGTGTGTGTGTTGTGGCCCTTCTCTTCGTATAAATAACATTTTTGTCAAGTGGCTTGTATGACAAAGTGTCAGCCATAAGTGTAGGACTTGTACACACACCCAAACTCGAATGTATGTATATATATATATATAGGACTAGGCCTATTGGGCACTCGAGTGGCTGCAATTGCTGATGTGGCTGCTGCTGCTGTTCAAACGCCAAATGGCAAACAACAAGCAGTGGCAACAACACTTGCAACAGCTGCTGCCACTGCTGCAGTCATCGTTGGCGTCGCTGTTTTTGGTGCCGCCTCTGCCTAATTGTTGTTGCTGCGTCGTAAGCCGACGACGCCTTTCGCCAGTTGGATGCCACCCCCCCATCCCATGCCCGCATAGCTGGCGTCTGCGTTGCCCTTTTCTTTCACTCTCTCTTTCTTCATACCCTTGGAGAAAGTACGATCGACTTTAGGTAGGCAACAACAGGAGTACACATCTCCGAGGCTCTCTCTTCCTCTAAAGATAAACCTGATAATCTTTGTACTAGTAAATACACATGGACATCTGCCA